TCGTTTAAGGTGATGAAAGTCTGTAAGTAGAATTTCCTCACAATGAAATGAGTAGAGCTGATATTTCCATCAAATTTCACAGAGCCTTGCTTTCTCAAAAGTTGTTCTCCTCCAGGCTGAAATGGACTGCAGTTTCCACCCTGCATAGGTCTTATCATCACCCCTCAGGGGGATTCGAACCGTGACAGGGCCCAATGTGAACTCGACACGTTAACCACTCATATTACTGATTTAATGGTAGTCTCGAAACATTTTTTACATACAAAAAATAGATTGTGTCTTGAAGACCTACTCAACAACGATTAAATAATACTATACGTTTTTTAACCTCATGTAACGAAACGTCTATCGGTTAAAAAAGCCGAGCCGGATGAACATGTGGTAACTGCAGAATGCGTAATAGAATGGTGCATAACACATCTTTCTGCAAGCTACGGGACTTCACATCGAAGCTTCGGAGTGGGAAGTCTACAGAAATAAACAAAATAGCCAACATCTCGAGTATGAGGAACGAGTGTATAACATTGAGCATCCACTATTTGTGCTTTGTGGATAAGCTTTAAGAGAGAGATGTAGAGAAAGTGGGAGCGAAAGCAAAAGTGTGTGAGAGAGAGAAAAAAAGGAGAGTCCGGTTATGGCTCGTACACAGCGCATAACTTGGCCATTGCACACACACAATGCACGACACTACATGCTTAAGCATGCGTCAAAAGTTTCACAACCAAGGGGCGATATATATTCACACAAGGAGACAACTGAAGTCACATCTATTTCCTTTTCGTGCATCAATTTGTCTCATCCGCAAGCATGTAAGTTAAGCATGTAGTAGCCAAAGCTATAATGAGACGTCTCGTTGTGATAGAAAAATTGGACATAATTGAGTTTCATTAACGGCCGGATACCTTACTTCATGGTTTAGCGTATTCATTTCTCTTTATTCTACAACCTGATTGCTTACAATTGACAGTGTCTGTCGTACGAGCGGCGATAGTCAAACACGGGTTCATTTGAGCTGCAGAAAGGTGAGTCGAGTAACTATTTGCCCTATCCCAAACTCTTCATTTCTAGTCAATCCTTTTGCTCTCCGCGCCAAGGCATTGTGTCGAAATTCTTTTTATCAAGTTTCGCTTCGAGATGAAATCACACGTCATACTAGCTCAGTATGAATTTCTTTGAAACTCAGCTTTCCTTACATAATGCTTCTTTGCTTCAAGGTTTCGCCCAGCTACGAATCACTTCACTCAACTTGCTCCTTTAAAAGACAAGATTTTTAGCGTGAAATAGTGAACGAAACAGATGTTTGACCTCATCCCTCACCTGCAAGCTGGTAAGTATAGGCATGCATTGTACAACAAAACATCAGATGCCTCACAAAACTATCAAAATTCGGTTCTAAATTTTATGCAGGATTGCAGCCTTTCTTCACTTTCTTCGCTCAATTTTGTTTGAATTCTTTAATAACATGAAGGTTTCAATAAATTTTTCAATGCCTCAAATTTACCTTCAATATTCATTAGAAGCTAAATACTCATCCTCAAGTCTCATCTGGAATCACTTCACCGCTAATATAGTCCGTAAGGAAAACATGGAATAAACAATCAAATTATGATTACACGCGGAAGGTTTCAAAGAATCTTAGCAATGTCTTTCATTTCGTTTGAAGCGGCGAGTAGAAGGGATTCGTCAATTGGCCTCACCGACAGCCGAAAGAGGAGTGCAATGGAACTGTGGCTGTAGAATTTTGTGATTAAATCCTCGACGCATCGTTTCGAAAAAGACAGGAACGATAATTGTTTTTTGGTGAATTATCGTAAAAAAAATATGACATGACATGACATTCCATTTCGAAGAGAAAGTTGGTTGGAAGGAAATCATCAAATGGTCTCAGAGGAAACGGAAGGAAGAAAACTGTTGGATTGTGCGAAAAGATCTTCGAATCCGATCAACCTGTTCTAAGCCTTCGTCTGTCCCGTCGAGATGGACATCATCAGAGCCAGAATCTATACTTTATGAAATAAAGCAAAAAATATACCACACTGGTCACCTTTGCTCGTGGTCTACTATCATTTTGCGCTATTCTGTGAAGTGCCAATTCTTGCTCTGGTGTTGCTTAGTACAGGTTCATCAGGGTCGCAGGACGATGAGCTTAGGTCTTGTTCGCAGAAATCCTTTTTCGGCTTCCAAAAGACCAGTTCATGATTTTTTCCGAGCAACTTTTCTTTGAAATGTAATGTCATGCCGCAATATATCACAAAGCCAGTCTTCGAAACCCAGTTTTGCTTCATATCGCAAGCCATGTAGTCCTGCAATGATGATGTCCTTCAACAAAATACAAAAGCTCAGCAAGGATTCATCGGAGTTCATCAAACAAATCTACAGTAACCTCTCCAAAACGACTCCCCTTCTTGCTGCTGGTGAGACTGATTCACGAATCCCTTCCACTTGCCTCTACACACGAAATGAAAGGTATGCCAACATTTATGCTACAATAATTTCTGCCATGAGGTGACAGCCGAAAAGTAAAACAAGGGCGATGCCTTTCTAACACAAACTCACAATCGCAATTGCCCAAACGTAATCGCCTTTATGCTTTCGGGTGGAGCCAATTTGCAGATCCTTTATACCAAGTTTTTACAACCAAGTGATGTTAATACAACAACATGAGCATCATCCTCGTCTGAGAAAAAGGTTGATGTCGGCAATTACTTTGATTATACACAACTCCGACTGCCAAATGTAGTCATGCGGAGAAAATGTCGGTTTCAATGCGTTTCTTGGCGTATAATTGTTGAACTCACTTACATTTCGAGTGAGAGTGTGCGGAAAAGCGACTCGAAGTTTGATCCTACCACAAGACGACAGCTAATTCCTCTCGGCCAGTCATGGGTTAGTTCAACTGGTACACTATTGTTAAGCTTTCGTCCGTCACATAAAGAACATCATCAGATCAGACTATCATACTTACAATCACATTCAAGTTGACGAGTTATGAACAATCATTGACTTATACTGGAATACCTTTCATTTCGTCCCAGAAGTCGGGTGGAAGGTATTCGTAGATTGGTCCCACCGGATACCGCTGGAGGGTTGACTTGGACTTTGTCTGTTGAAGACCTCGGCTCACCGTCCCCCGTCCCCCCCAGAGTACTCCGTGCTGGGCTTTCATACTTCATGTGACGGACATCGTCGTGACCACATCCGCTCCCCTTCTTGCATCACTTTCACTCGATTAGATGCTCGCCTGTAGGCCGCCAAGCGTCATTAAGATAGCAAAACGAGGTACAAAAGGTATGTAGGATCTGTTGATTCTGTGTTTTTTGGTGAGGGTTGGGGAATAAGGACTTCCGGCTCTGACGATGTCTGTCACATGACGGACAAAAGCTCAGCACGGGGTCTTCGCGGTTATAAGACGGTGAGCCGATGCCTTCTTCGCACAATTCAGCAAACAAAAGTCTTAGACAACCATCCTTCGATATTCGGTGAAGCCAAGCTACGAATCCCTTTCACTCGTTTTCTCAAATGAAATGAAAGTATGCCATTATCAACTTCTATTTCGTTTGAAGTGGCTAGTTGAAGAGATCCAAAACTTGCAGATACGGTGGGTTTCGATGAATCTATTAGGATTACATTGTTTGGGAGACTTTCATTTTGTATAAAGATGAATATATGCTAAGAAAAGTTGGGTTTAAAGGAATCTCTTGTTTCATAATTGTTGTGCTTACTTCCATTTCGAGTGAAAGTGTTGGGTGAAGAGATTAGAGGGTCGATGCCACCAGAGGACGACGGCGGATTCCTCTTGACCGGCCGTCGATTGGCTTTACTTGAACATTCATGCTGACGCTG